TGAGGGATAAGGAAAGACTGTATACAGAGAGTCTGAAAAATCTCCGTGCTTTTCCAGAACTGGCTCCAGTTAATAAGCAGACAGCTGGAGATAAAATATTTTTAGAGAAGAGGATCTGGCTGAGGACCAGATTTCCAGAGGAGACAAAACAAATCAAGTGTCAGACCCGTGGTAGAAAATGCTGCCAAGTCTTATGAGATTTGGTTAAATTCTTCCATCATAATATGAATGACATATACAGAGCAGATTATGTGAAGTCCGCTAGAGACTTCATTAATGCTAGTCTGTTTTACCTGGAGGGCTCTTGTGTGCCCCAGGAATGCTAGAAGAGAGCATCCTCTTGTCCTAAGTTTTAGGATTAGTAAAATGTATTTTTTTCTCTTGTTATATAAACACATTTGTTATTTTAGGGTAGCAGTTTACATTGGGGTAGAATGCACCACCTTGCATTCAACCTCTGTGTTTATATAAATAAGGGAATGATGGCAAAAGTAAAGATGGATTTGTTAGAAATGCAGCATTTGAGATGCCAGTGACTAACTACGGAGACAGACAGAAAAATTGTAGTTCCCACTCTGATTTGCCTTCCTGTGCTCCACTGAGCTAGGAGACTCTGAAGTTGTGTTTATTTTCAGGACAGCTGCTAAATACAGGATGCAAATGTCTTGAAAAACCCTGTCCTTAGACCTTCTGTTCCCTGATACAGAGCTACGGCTTGAGTTAAAAAGGAGTAACTGTTGAAACGTCCAGTACTGCTCTTGTATTTCCTCAAGTATTTTTCTGTGTACTCTTGTTTGTGCATTTCTATTTTTTTACAGAGAGGCAATGAAATGAAGAATGGTTCCATGTTAAGTCATTCAGTTCATCCCTTCTGCAGTTTGTTTAATTTATTTCGTGCTCCTGGGGCAGCAAACTTATAGTTTTCTGAAGCTATTCGCTGTGTTGTTCATCATACGCTGAAGGCCACAGTCTGGTCTGATTGAAACAAGGATAAAAATATTATAGTGAGTTTTAGGGAGGTACATTACAGCTTATCTTTTAGTCTCTTTCCTCCTATGAAACTCCAGTTATATCTGCAGTGTGAATACACATATACACATAGAATTTATACTTTGTTCTGTGAGTAAAAAGGAACAATATCTTTTAATTCTGTATGAAGTGCATAGAAAGTTTAAAGATCGCTTGCACTCTGAACAATACTGTGCTGCTAAATATCCTGACAAATCAAGAATTCTGTTTCTTTCTCATCATTCTGGATAGCAAGGAGCCAGGACATACACTTTTTTCTCACCTTGAGTTAGACATCTGGAAATACCATTCAAACAAAAATCCTTGTCAGATTTGAGGTCAGTCACTTTCTCTGTTGGTTGGTGGATTCTTCAGCTACCCTTGCAGCTAGCTTAAGGCTTTATGGACTGCAAGATAGTCGATATTTTTTTTTGCTTTGAAAATGAAGGTTTTTTTCATTTAAAGAAGCAAAATACCAAGTACCATCTGTATACAACCATCCACCTGTCAAGAACTTAAAAATAAAACAAAAGATAGAAATAAAAATATGGTAATGAAGTTATCTGAGAAGCTATGGAGAAAAGCTGTCTCTTTGACAAAAATAGAATTTGCATTACAATTCAAAGAACAACTCCATGTTTTATGTAATGATGCAAAGTAATCTCTACTTGTATATTCAAAGTCTAGTACAATATTTCATTCTTATGTAAAGTCTCAAAAACAAGTAGCACATCAGATGTTTAATGCTGTACTTTGAATATTTGGTTATTCACTATTATACTATGAATGCTATTTTCCTTAGACTTCCTTCTTTACAATGTCTTGGTCAGAGTCTTACTGAGGTGATTGGAAGAGAGGTGTAATAGTTCTTGAGACTTGAACAGCGATATCCTTTTGTAGATATTTTTAGTATATTTACTATTAAAAATTACTTCTAACATAGAAAATAGTATGAGTTTAAACTATGTATTTCCTAATTTTTTTGCAAGTTTGAATTAAGGTCAGTAGTTGGAATCAGATTTTTGGTTGATCCATGTTTGATAGGTCAGAATGAAATACTGGAAACAAAGTCCTATCAGACTTTGGTGTGCATTTGTAATCATAAACATCAACATGCTTTTAAACTGCGTATCTCCAAATTGCACTTTATGCGCAGTTAGAAATGTACGTATTTTGCTTGTCAGCAAGAAAATCAATACAGTGTTGTCTAAACAATGTGTGCATCCATTACTTGGCCTTTCCAGTGACAGCATTACTGTCAGCCTTGGTTATGGAACTTCATTTAATTATAATTTCATTCAATGTAGACAGGATCAGAAAGTGAATCATGACCCAGTACTGGAAATCTGTATGGGGAAAACTGTCACTGCATATGTATTGGAAAAAACAACCACAATGTACTAAGTCATTTCTAGATTTACATTAAAGCACAAGCTTTCCCCCGGATGACTCATTCTGGGATTGTATGGCCGAGGCTGTCCAGGTCTCAACAAAATTAAGGAGCATTGCCTCAATATCTAATAGTTTGAAAACAGCATATATGTTATATGGAAGGCTTATCTAGTTGCTTTCCCATATGCTATGCTGTTTATATAACAGCTTGTTTATTAACTGTCTTCCAAAAAGTTTATCATCTAAGCTGTAGCAGCAATTTTAAAGCAGAAAAAAATGGTGTGAAAGAAGTCTAATTTTGTGAGAAGCATATGGTTGAAAAAAGTACATAAGTCTTCTATTTCCTGTGGATAGGGAGTTGTTTTCTGAAGTTATCTCTTTGCATAACTATCTGTTATAGTAGTGGTATGACTGAAGCGCCTTGTTGGTGTTAAGTTTGGGATCCTTGCTGAGGAGTTACTGCAAGCACTGGCGTTATTTCAGTGACAGTATGACAAAAAAACAGCCATAGTGAGTCAGCTGTTCAAATGTAGGTGAAGAAAGCACCGGTAATATAAAAGTGCAGGTATCGCGCTTGTATCCACCAAACAGCACTTTCCTATCTCTATTCTGTTTTCTGTAAAGCCTCAGATGAATTAGTTTAATCAGTCACTGGAAAGAACAAGTTAAAACCTGGAGTGCTTCTCTGAAGGTCATGTCCTCTTTACTTTAAATAAGCCGCTGGCCAACGCACATTCTGGGAGAAGAATATGAATTTTCTTCCTTCACCTTGACTTTTCTGTTACCCCAAAGTAACAAATGCCATATACTCTGGGATAAGCACAATTTTGGTGGGGGCAGTTGATCGAATGAGGTTATTGTGCACTAGTTAGGCAGTCGGGGGATCCCTAGGAGTTTTTCCTTCTCCATCTGATTGGTATTAGTGGGAGGGGGTGATTTATCTTTCTCACTGCAGTTTAAAGCACCTTGTGTTAGTGTCACAATTCATCCCACAGGGGCTTTTAACATCAAGGCAGGACTTTGCACAGTTTCTTGAAATACCCATCAGAGATCACTTTTAGCGTGGTTACTCCTTAATTTCTGTAACATCCCTGATTAATTCTGTGGCTCCATCAGAGAACTCTGAAGCGAGGACTTACACCCTGTGAAACGTAGGCTACCAGCAGTAATTGTAGCTGGTGAGCAAGACTGTTTTAGAAAATTTAACTCACCTTTATTGGTCATTTGGATATGCTGGCAAACTTTTTGAGTCAAAATGCCATCCTAAATAGATTTTATGGTAGACTTATTTGTATCAGATTTTTGGTTGTTTTTACTAGCAGTTGCCAGTTTAAGCAGCGATCAGTTGTCAAACCCCAGTTGCTGGTTCCTGCTCTCACAGTTACACCAATCCAACTATTTGTGAGGAATTTGGTAAACTGCGTTCAGGAACTGAATTTAGAAAGATACTCATCCCCTCTCATTGTTGTTGCTATTAGGTTGTTTTTAACCTGGATCAGTTCTGTAATCTGTTTGTACCCCGTCTCCATGAACTGCTGTTTCAACAGTTGACAAAGGTAGTATGGCGGTGGGGGTCAGAAGCTGTGTAGCAAAGCGAGAGAAGGAATGGAAGCTGCATAATTTGGCTTTGCTACCAAAATAAACGTGTGTGCAATTTTTCCATGCGTCAGTCAAGAACTGCATGACTGGTCGTCTTCCTAACTGAAGTCCATAAAGCCGTTATACATTTTTCAGATCTTACCCTCTTTACCGATAGACTGTTGTTAGCTTGTCTCTCTTCTTTAACAGATTCTGTTTAAATGATTTTCTTGAAGCTTTTTCAGCAAGAGTGTTAAAGATTTATAAGGAGTGGATGAGGCTCTCCATTGTCTTATCCAGGGCATTTTTCACAGGTGAATTGACACATTCACTTCTGAAGGGCATTTAGTTAAACAGTTACATACAAATATCCTCTCTCTCCCTATCTTTTAGCCTGAGTCAAGACTTTAATTCATTCTCTTGTCTTATGAACAACCTTCAGAAAGATATGAATGAACACGTTCACAGCAAAAATGAAAATACTGCAGAATGCCCTCAGATTTCTCAGAAGTAGGCCAGGAAATTAGATTTCAGGGGTAGTTTTAAGTCTGCGGAAAGTTTCCAGCACCTGTTGTTATTGTACAGGAGGTGTGGTTCCAGAGAACCTGAAGTGGAATACATGGAATACATGCCATAAAAAAATCTGAGAAATGAGAATGTGACTCTTAAAGTATAGCAAGGAGACAACTCTTTTAGCTGTTCCATCAATCTTTGTATAAAGAGAAAAGTAATGAGAAACAATAACTGGGGGCAGGAGAAGGAGATGGCTGACAGAAAACTTCTTTCCAATAGACAAAAATTAATGAAAGAATCATCACCTGTACTATATCAATTTTTACTAGTAGTTCCCAATGACTTAAGTCGGTAACATTGCAATGTAACCTAACAGCTATAAAATATGTCCTTCCCACCTAGCGTTTTTCTTCCCGTGTCTAGAAAACACATCTTTTGCTGTGGAAAAAATGCTGGCTTGAGTAATAGTACGTGAAGTTAATAATGTTCTTTCTTCTTCTGCTCTACAGGGTTTCCTGTGCAGATGAATGAGTCCGATCACTCGCTATTTCAGCATTCGTTTCAAGGATGTATGCAGTTTATTCACGTGGACGATCAGCTGGTGGACTTACAAGCAGTGGAGCAAGGCAAGCTGGGAAGCTTTGCCAATGTCACCATTGACATGTGTGCTATTATTGACAGGTAAGTTAGGGAGACATCACTAATATTATTCAGATACCTTCATAGCTGAACATCCTTCAGATTCTGAAAATACATATACAGTGATAGAGAAAAGGTGTTTCTGATACTGCCAATGATACAGTCAGGGCAGTCTCACCTCTTTAACAGTGGGGACCATGTTTACAGGATGGAGATGATGGCTTTAAGCTGTGATTGTGCAGGGTGCAGTAGAAAGCATATTTCTCACCTCCCCACTCTCATGTAGAGGAGGAGATGAAAAGGTATTGTAAGTGAAATTCTGTCCACAGGTCAATAATATGGCTACTGTGAAAAGAGGAAACTCCCTGAAGAACACATTTTATCTGTTTCTTAAATGCCTGTTATGGAGATGTTTTTTCAACTAGAGATGGAGGTAGAGTGTGGTAATGTCAGCCACTTGGATTATTGATTCCAAAAGTTATATATAGTTACATGTAAGTAATATAACTGTGCAATAGTCAAACTATCCTATTTTGTTTATTGTGTCCAATGGCTGTTGTCATGCCTGCAAAATATAAAAAACCTTAGCATATTGCTGCTGTTGTGTTTGTAGAAGTGGAATTATTTGTGAGGCTTAGAAAATCTATTTTGTAAGAGTATATGAAGCTATTTGTGATATTCAGAGGCAAAACTTTGAAGCTGATAGAATCTTTCTCTTACAGCTTTCTTTTTTCAGCTTGTCCCTAGATAATTCCTATATTAATCCTAATAAGTCTGTTTAATTTATTTTTATTGTAAGGTCTCCTCTTGGTATAGCAGAGCCACAACTTTCAGAGACACAGTTCATCTGCTTTTCCTACCTTAAGAAATGGTTTAAGTTGAGATGGGGAGGACAGTGAAAATAGAATCTGAAGTGGTTTTAATTTGGGCATTGGTCATAATATATCTAAATTAATTTTTAAAGTGTTTTTTGTTTGCCAGATTACTTTTCTAGAAAATGCAAAATTAGTAAATAGAAACTAGGAATTCGACTTCTTGCATGAATACACTGTCAAGTGCCATTGCAGTTCATTGTACTAGAAAAGCAAAAATGTGTATAGTTCACAGAGGCTTATTCCTATTTCCTAAACAGAATAAAAGAACAAGATAGTGTCAGACCACAAGAGAAAAAATACAGATTATCTGATTTGAAAGGACTAAATCTGTGTCGGTTGTTCAGTATGCTGACTCCTTAGAGAAACAGGCTGTGTCACCCCCGAGGTGGGTAAGTTGCAACTTGAGATCCAGCAAGCTGTGGAAGAGCAGTCTCCTGGAACTGCACTGCAATTTCAGGCTTTCTGACAGCACTGAATTCCTCAGAGAACATAAATAAGTGTGCATGCCTGCACAACAGTGTATGTAATACATGCACAAACTTAATTAAAATAATACTTAGATTTTTACCTAAACTGAGAAGAGAAATTCAGAAATATGGCAGACCTTTGCTTTGAATCTTAACTTTCCAACCACTTATCTTTGTTAATTTTTATTGGTTCGGCATGATAGCGTTGTCTTTGTCAAACACACAAACCAAAAAACTAGGAAAGACAGGGAAGGAGCAAGTGGCACAGTTCCTGAATGGAGGCATCTTGGCTTCTCATGAAATTTGCATGTGTTTTAAACCAATTGCCAGTTGGCTGGGAAGTTGAAAAGGGCTTTTTCTGATTCTGCTTTGAAAGAAGAAGAAAGATTATAAGATCATAGAATCCTAGAATAATTTAGCTTAGAAGCAACCTTTGGAGGTCATTTGGTCCAACCCTCACTCAAAGCAGGACCAACTTCAAAGTAAATCAGGCTGCTCAGGGCCTCGTCCAGTCAAGCTTCAAATATCTCCAAAGATGTAGATTCTGCAAGCTGCATGGCTCTGAATAACATCTGCACAGTTCTAGTAAATAAATGTATGTACTTTTCACTTCCTACTGTAAACTAAGAGAATCTCAAAGACAAAGCTATTTTGTAAAAATGAAAGAAGGCATACTGCTTGGGTCTCCCACAATGCCTTCTCTTTCTGCAATGTAGACAGAAGTTTACAATCAACTGTTTTAGTCATGTCAATGTGCATGTTTTGGTGGAAGACCAGTGAGATGTTTTGGCATGTCAAGGCATTTTAGATTACTTGAGATCTCATAACCTGTTGAGGCTGAAGTCACAGAGAAAATGGGAAATAAATTCGGAGTTGCTATCAATCGAAGAAGTTTGGCTTATCTCCTCCCATACTACTGTGAAATTAGGAAGGCCTCCTGTGGTTGCTGTTTGGTAGTTTGAATTGATTAATGTTGTTTTGAATATTTGGTTTGGAAATGTAGACTCACTTGGAAGAAGGAATGTGAAGATATATCTAGTTAAGTCTCTGTTTTTACATGGTAGATAAATCTAGGCTTATGTGACAGTTTACATTGATCCTCTTATGCCAGTGTCTATTAGAAATAATCACATCATCACAGTTAAGTTAATCAGAATGAGACCTTTGCAATGCCTTTTTGCAAAATATGACTTAAAGCTTCCTATGCGTCAAGCAGTTTATTTCTGAAGACCTCTCTGTCTTTAATACTATTACAGCTCTAAATCATTTCAAGAGATTTGTGTAAGTAAAAGAAAAATATGTTCTCACTCTGTTTCTCTTTTGTGAGCCTGGGACCCTGATATTCTCAGGATTATGTAAATTAAAACTATATGATTTATGCTTTCTTAAGCACTGTCAGGTTGTGTTGCTAACAGAATAACAGTTGTGTAATCATTGGAAATTAGAATAGCATCTGAAGAATTTTCTTTATTCTTTTTTTTAGGGATTGAGATGTCATCTAGTTTGTCATTTTTAATTGATCAAGTTTACTTTTTTGTAATTCACACTTTGAAAGAAACCCATTGACTAAGAAGTGATAATGTCAAACTTTAGATCTGACATCTGCAAATAGGCGTTTACAAGCAGTTCTGTTAGAATATATACAGTCACTATAAATAATATTTCTATTTGTGGGGTGATTTTAAAGATAAAGTATTGTGTGTGCTGTATGTTAGCTTAATTTCGTTTCCTTTAAAAAGGGAAGCTACTCGTGTGCCTGTGAATCTAGGATCCTCCTGCTTTTTTTACTGGTTTGGCAGTGAATCATAAAGTCTTCTGTCTTCATCAGCATGGAAATTGCTTTCATGGCCACACTTCAGTGAAGACCCCCACTGGGCAAAAAGATAAGCCGTCAAATTGAATTATTCTTACTGCAGATTGCAGTCATTTGGCTGGGAAAAAACTTGATGTTGTAAACAGTGGCATTTTTCATTGTTAGCCAGAACGGGTGGTGAGGAGGGGACAGTTTCCTAAGTAAGGACAACAAGACAAAAGGTACAGGAGGTGGCGAGTTCTCATGTTCCACTCGTCCTGGAAGCAATCTGTTCTGAAGTTGTGTCAGCTGAACACCTTCTATGGAAAGGATTTCTGCGTTTCAGTTCCAGTATTTTTCTAAAACATCAAGAAAATAGTCACATTAGGGTGTTGTACTTGGGGAAAAGATCTGTTGAATCAGCATCTTTCTATTCTCAGTTCTCCCTATGCACATAGATGTTTTGCTACTGTGTCTAGACCTACAAATTGAGATCTTGTTACAAGGAAAACCCAAAGCTAAGTAACATCCTCTTTTTAACTGATGGCTGAACAGTGTAAGTGCATATTATTTCATTACATGTAGGTATATATACAGTAATAATTACAAGCAATTAAAGTACTATTGAGAAAAAATAATCGCCCCGCTTCTGTATCGTAATTATCTCTAATTGTATTAGCAATGGAAGTCGCGTTGTTGTCAGAGTGATCAACATGCTATACTGCTGGTGGCAGCACAGGTCCCTATACACCTCCTTTACTTATCATTAACAAACGGAGCTGTTGTTACAGTCCAGATGGTACAGCTTAGGATTTTAGCATAGGACATTGAACAGGAATTATTTTTCACAACTAATTTATCCCAGTAGCCTGAGAGAATTCTTAAGTTCTCCTGACTTTGTTGTGGCTAAAATTATGGATTTTAATCACTGGATCGTAATAAGGAGATGCAAAAATGATATCAAAATGCAGTGTTCAGTATGTTATTGTGGATTATGCAGTATGTATGTCAATCTTAAAGGCAGTCGATCAGAGTACCATAAGATGTGAAATGACAGAAATGGAAAACAAGATGCAGCCCCAAGAATTTTCATGTAGCTACTTTCAGTGTTTTATGAATGTGCCTGCTGTATGATTTCCTCTATCACAGAAATGAACTAGGTGCCTATTTTCTATAATAATTTCACATTAAAGAATTAATGTAAGTAGTAAGTAGTCAGATAGCTCCAGCAGTACATTTCTGGGTGATTATTGCTCGCCTGCTATGGTGGTATGTGCTGTAGGACAGAATGCCAGCATTCTCCTTTAATCCTGTTCAGCCACATTTTCTAGACTATGTGATTGCCAATCCAAAGTTGAAGTAATTTTTTTTAAATAACAGCAAGCATGCAGGTGCATGAGTATGGCTGAGATATAACTGGCAGCAAGACAGAGAGTTTCTTTGGAATTAAAAATGATCAATGCAAATAGCCTTAATCTTCTTAGTTTCTGGTTCTTTGCATAGACTTCTGGCCTTCCTCTCTGTTCTCCCTCTCCCTCTGCTAGTTCAGTATTGAGGCATTAAGTGAGAAATAAGACAAACATCTTCCTATAGTAATCTGTGTAAGGAGCAGATGATATACCAGTCTCCAGACTTCAAGCAAAATCTGCCTGACAGTTGATCTCTTCCCAAGATGAGTCCACAAAAGGGAAGTAAAATAGAACTGTGGAGGAGCTGAAGCCATACCATGCGTTCAGCCTGCATTGCCCACAGGAGGCATGACTGTCTGTATGGTTGGAAGCCGCTTCCTAGGAGTTCCCTCTCCCTCTCCCCAGCTCTTCTTTGAAACCATGCAAAATTCTGGTGTGGGAATGGAGATTAAAGCTGTCTTTCAACAAGAGAGTTACTCAGGTTTCAAAGGCATTTACT